GCGTTGCGAACAGAGTAGTCGCATTAGCGAAAAGTGGCGATGTGTGTAAAAAGAACAAGCTTAATAGGGACATCGTAAAAAGAGAAGGGGTGGAAATTGATGTACCAGAAATAAAGAGAGTGAGTTATTGATATTAAATTGTTGATCAGGCAGTTTGTGACTTACGAGGTGTAGAGCGCGAACCGGATGTGCTTAAAGGTTTAGCATAGACTTGGAATACAGGGCAAATGGAGAGACGCGAAAGATGAACGGTGAGAGTGGGAACCACAAGCAAAAATGGATGATGCGCTCGTACGGGTACGGCATGGTAGATCAGACGAGGTCCGGGGCACTGGCCCGATAAAAAACAGAGCGGCATTTTGCTGAACCCGGGGGGGCACCCTCCCGCTCGCCACCCCCACTATATCTCTCGCCGCTTCCCTGACGCGCTTCCCTGCCCCCCGCTCCCAATTTCCCGTCCGCTCCCTGTTCCCGCTCCCTGCCCCCGCTTCCCGCTCCCTGCCCCGCTTCCCGCTCCCGCTCCCTGCCCCCGTCACCTACGCAACTCGCCCCTCCCGCTTTCCACCCACCCCAACCGCCGCGCCGTCTCTTGCACTCTCCCCGCGACCACCCCATGCCACCCCCACGACCCCCCACCGACCCTCCCTCCACCCTGACCCCCATCAACCGCCTCCAGCTTCGCCGTTCCCCCCGCTGCCCCCGGCTGCGCCCGCTCGGCGCCGGCGTCTCCCTGTTAACTTTCACCTGCCGCACCAGGAAGCTCGCGAGTGCCCCCTCCGAGCGTCTCGGAAAGGAAGAAAGCCGGCTGCTAAGCCAATGATTGATTTAACGAGCATCGTTGAATTACAGGCGGGAAGCTTGCCCGATATCGACCGCGGACAGGGTGGCGGCGACGGGGCGAAGGGGCTCGGGGAGGAGGGATGGGGGAGGGGGAGAGGGACGGAGGGGACGAACCTTGGCGACGCCACCTAGGGAGAAAGCCGCGACCCCCTGATGCGCATCGAGAATTGGATTCTAGCTATCTTGGCTTGAACGGGCAATTTGATATATTGTCCACAAAAGTACTGCGACTAACGGTCGAAATATCAATTTTGGACAATCGCAGTTTTGTGGTAATTATCTTGTGTAAGATACGTAAGTTGCAAATCATCTATTATTAAAAAAGCAACTTTAAGAAGTAAAGCTATGAAAAAGGATTTTCGTCAAATAAGAAGTTCGTTCGTTATATAGACTTTAAAATAGAATCGAAATATATTGTTGAGTTCTCAATAACTTTGGTAATTGAAGTTTTAAACATTCGGTAACTCCATATTATTTTTTGAATTCTCTAAATAGTGGCAGGATTTCTACCTCGATTTGGCTTCCATTATCATCAAAAGAAATGGTTGTTAAACTATTAACACACGTGCAGCTCGGCGTGTAACGACAGCTTTTTGACTGAGAGACGGCTTTCCGGCAGCTGGCGTTGGTGGCCCAGGTGTTGAGTGAAATGAAGTTTCTCCGTTCCTTTACGCCCCGTTTTAACGTCCATTAGTATTTCATGGGGAGCGAGTCGCCCTGGACTTAACGTAAATCTCGGGTAATCCCGCCGGCCGGCGAACGACGCCGGCGCCCTCACTCTCTGACGGTCGACAGGCGAAGCTCTGAAGAAGCGAACATCCACTTTCGTTTCTAGGAACCCTCTTTTTTCTTCGTTCTTGCAACTAAAATGAAGCGTGTACGTCAATAAATCCACGTTGGTGTCAGGAATGTTAAGTTGAAAAGGAAGGCATTTGAACCATAAACAGTTTTGAAAAGATAGATTTTCGATAAATTTATTATGCAATGATTAATATTGTAAATCAAAATAGTTTCTTTTGATATTTTTAACAGTAGCGAATTCCCTGTTGCAAACATAAAAAATTCTGATTATAATTCATTAAAACAACTGATTTTCCTACCTTCAGAATTTTCATGTATACTTTTTGGGTTCAGCGAAATATACATTCTCAATCATATTGCAGAGACTCAAAACAATATTTCGCAAAGTGAGAAAAATGGTTTTTACACCCTAGCCAAAACTTCCTTGTTTTCAAACTTGGAAGCTAAACAAATAGCTTTCCAGACCGAACGTTAACTTGCGTCACATTGTCATACTGCATCCTGCATTTCAGCCGTGCACTATCCTGGAGGTCTTCCCGCTTCGGGATCCTCTCAGTCTGTTCTCTTTTATTTCTGTGAATCAGAGTTGGCAAAGTTACTCTCTATCTTATTTTATTTATTAATAAACGCACAGGACCTTCGATACGCCCCACCGTTCACGACCTCTAACTTCCCTACCGGCCTCCCGGCATGTCTAGTAGTGTAGTGCATGTAAGTGTAAATTTGTAAGGGATGACAATAGGACAATGAAAAGGAAGGAAAGATCGTGCGCTGTTCATGGCCCTTTTGTTAGGGTACTGTTCGTGCATTCGACCGGCATTGATCGGAGAAACCACAGAAAACTATCGATTATAGCAGGTGGGCCGCTAGAATTCTCCTCCAGGCAACGACTGATCATCTGGCATTCTACTGTCGAAATCACTGTCACTGCCGGGACCCGAACCGTAAGACCTCCAGGTCAGAGGCACTGCAGTGACATCCGTCGATGCCCTGAGCTACCTAAGGTGGTAGCGGCCCTCGTCGTCCGAGGGTTCTTGGCTCACGCGAGCACCGCCCGCAATTTGCAGCTTAACTACGCGTGAGGAGGCGGCCGAGCAGGCGAGCGGGCGCAGCGCAGCGCAGCGCAGCGCAGCGCGTTATAAGTGACGCCATTGTGTTCCCATTGCGTACGCGCACCATTTGCTTGTAAATGTTGCGCTCCCCGCTCTTGAAGCGCCGCGCAAGAAAGCCCCTCGAGTAAGAGAGCTTCTTTAAGTAGAGGTCGTGACCTCGCGGAGAATCGTAAAAGGTTTGGAAAACACGCGGTAAGCGAAATGTTTTGGGAGGGAAATAAAATGTTTTATCAGCTGTTGGTTATTCGAAAAAAGCGGCTAATTAGATTATTGGGGGGGGGAGGCAAATGAAAGTCGTTGTAAGAATCAAAAAACATATTATTACAACTTGAAAACCATGGGTTATTTAATTGTACTCGTGTGTTGGTAATTAAGATGTGAAAATTAATTCAAAATGTGTGAGGAAATGCATTTTGTGACTACAATTCTTTGAACTTTCTCATTATATTTTTTACTATGTCTATGGTATTATGTTCTAGTTACCCTGTTCTTTTCGTGAATTTCAAAATAACGTTAGTAAACAAATTTACCAGAATTACCATGTCAACTTTCTTTCTTCTCGTTGTGATGCACTACTCTACTAAGAAAGGAACAAGTGATTCACTGAAATGGCTTTAAACGCAGAATGGAACAATATTCACGAACTTCTGCCAATATTCACATCATAAATAACTTTTCGGCACATTCTGTCGCTGTTCGGCAGACTTACGGTGAGTCGGAGCAGTTCCATCGTAGGCCGCTTTGCTGAGACGGTTTTATAGAGAAATATCTCCTCAATATTTCGATATGACAGATTATGTTTCAAGGTGGAGGACCATTACATGACAAAGTTATCTACACTGCATTTAAATTGCTAACTTTCAAAATGATTATAAGTAGTTATCCGATCTGAGTATTGTACATCTCAGACACAGCCGTCGGCATCCTAAAATGCTATATTGTACACGACTGGTAAATTCAGTTTTCCGGTATTTCCTTGCCACATCTGCCAGATAATAAAATAAGTACCATCGCTAGCACAGAGTTCAAAGTAAAAGAATATAAGACTACAGCCAGTTCACGGGCCCGGGAACGAGCTAAAATACTCGATAGATTTCAGAAACCCAAGTCATCTAAAGGGTTATTTGAAGCGCTTCGCTGTCTAATAATCTGAAACTCCGGCAAACTTTTATTCCCTCATATTCTTTTAATAGTCTTTACCAAAAATCAGTCACGCTTTGTCGTTAAGTCTGAGAAGATAATACATTAATGGAAAAATAATTTACATTCTCAATTGATAATACTACCCAGCCAATGCCTAATCCTGGCTATAAAGATACGCCGAACGCAAAGTATGAGTACACGATATTTGCATTAATCAGCCGTCATGAATCTAACAAACTGACCCACTAGAATCACAGTAAATGAAACGGGGTCGGTGCCACCACGAAATATAATGCTTTCTGTTTAACAATAGAATACGACGTGTGTTCCTCAAATATAAATATTTCCGTGCGCGTGTACCTACACACACGACGCGCACGCGAGAGTTGAAAAGTAAAAAAGATCGATAGTTCGCCGGCGCCACACGCCACAAGGGCGCTCTCTGTGGGTGAGGGGGAGGGGGGGGGCGACGCGCCAACATGGCGGCGCGGCGACGCACGCTTTCGCCTTCCCTCGCGCGGGGAGCGGCACGCATTTGGGCCATCAGGAATGTGTGTGACAAAGGCCCCCCCCCCTTGGTGATTTGAGCGCCAGGTAGCCGTAGGTTTGCGTGAAGATCGCGACAATCGAGTCGATTATGCAAAGAGAAGGATTCAATGAATTGGATGTTATTGTCTTCAAGCGGTTGACAATTGACTCGATATTATGATGTTGAGTTTATATATGTCCATAAATAATACAAAGATTGGAATTTTTTGGAAACATTTGGAATATCATAATTTTTATTTTAGTGACTAAAAAGGAAATGCGAGTTGTCGTTTAAATGAAATACTACCGAATTCAGGTATGCCAAGAAAATTATATTAAATGAGATTTAAGGATTTGCAGTTATATCGCTGAATGCTGCGAAATATGATTTGTTACGTGTAGTTCATAATGGTCTGAAATTTCTACGTATTGTATATATAGTAATGTCTCATTAAGACACTTTCTTTACATCATAGGCACAATTCGTGCACTTTTCGCTACCTTAGCAATTTTTTTAGATCTCATCGTCAATAGAAATATTTGCAATATTTTACTGTGTACTTACGTATTCATTTCTTCCATTCTCTCCTTTGCTTACTTCCGAGGTTTAAGAATCTGAAAAGAAATACAATTTTTAATGTGACAAAAAAGACGAGAGCAAGGTAAACAATAGTCTGTGGTACTTTCTTAAAACCTCATGCGGCACGTGCCTTTCATTGTGCAAAGCCAGCCCTGACACACGGCGCCTTTCACCGTCGCTCCGCTAGTGCGGGTTCTATGAAGTAGCGGTTTCTTGCGCCGCTCCCGCTGGAGTCACCGCAACAGCCTCCTGCGCCGCCCACGCCACCGCCACCCACGCCTCCCACGCCTTCAACAACACCGCCACCACCCACATCGCCACCGACGCCCATACCCCCAAGCCACCGCCCCCACCGCCTTCACCGCCACCCGCGCTACCACCGCCACCTACACCCACGCCGCCGCCCGCACATCCCGCACCAACACCACCGCCCGCGTCGCCCCCGCCCACACCGCCATCGCTATCGCCCGCGCCTTCGCCGGTTGTGAAACAAGGTCCTCTCCCGCCTCGGCGCCTCACCTGCCGCGCAAGTCGTCCTGCGCCGGCCGCGGTCGCGACCCCGGGGCCAGAGGGCGCGCGCGACGCGAGCCGCGAGGCAGACGCGCGGCCGGCGCACGGGACCCCGGAAGGCGGCTTCGCGCGGCGCGCGGAGGCGGTTTAGCAAACGACATACCGCTGCGGCGCGACGCCCTCTGCGGGCCGTAAAGGCGACACCGACGCCGCATCGCACCGCGCCGCGCTGGGAATGTACAGTTAAGCGTTTGGATTCACGGGGCATCAGCGAGCAGAGAGGGGGACTGGAAAATCAAGCCTTGTGGTATTTGCTTGCAGCTTGGTGGCTATTACATTGGAAGTTGATAGACTCGCCAGAAGTGTTTACCAACAACTTGACAGAACGTCGTAGATAATACGTTGACATGTGGATGACGAAAGATGCTTCATTACATACATTAATGAATGTAATTTTATTTATGTCTTTAATGAGTGTGTTCGAGAACTGATACTCTGTTATGAACTTAGTAATTATGAACTTAATATTCCAATTTCAGAGAACCCTTCTAAAGTTGCCAATTTCTAAAATCCCTATTTCTAAAATTACTAATTTCAATGCAGTGGTACTTGTTTGGGGCAATCCGGTTATGAAAAAGGATAAATTATAGGTGGAATTTAGTAGACATTGAAAAGCAAATTTTGTTAAATTTGTCAAAATTGGTAAAAAAAAGCAAATTCAAGTTTTGGTTTCTCATTCTTAAACAAAAGAAAGAAAAGAATACTTCAACACCTGAAAATTGCCCCACCTGCTGGAAAATCACTCCTCAACCGATCTCCTCGGAGCGAGGAAAAAATTTTAACGACTGTTTCCTTGGAATATCGCTCGAAACACGAGACACTTTATCGGATTCCCAAGGGACGCTAAACGAACTGGAAAAATTCCAACGAGCTTTCTCTGCCTTGCGCCAGCTAATAGTTGAGGTTGGGTCTCCGGGGGCCGTAGGAAGGCGACGTGACGAAAATGAGAGCGGTTTTGCGGGACCTCTGCGCAGCGCAAGGCAAGTGCCCACGGCGGCGCGGCGCGTCGTGCCGAGGCGAGAGCAGAGAGCAGAGAGCGAGGAGCGACCCTCCGGAGAAGGTTATCGTGGCCGCGCCGCCCGACAATGGGCGCCTCTGTCCCGTTAGATTAGGAAACGAGGAAGACACCCGGCGCAACTCGCTGCGGCAGCGCCCGGCGCGGGCGGTGGGGGTGGAGGGGGGAGGAGGAGCCCCGCCCTGGCCCGAGGACCACACCCTTTCCCGTTGGGCGCCAACGCCACTACTGCGCGCCTGCAGTGAGATGCCACTGTCACACTAGAGGGACTTGGAAATTTGAATTGCTTGTTCCACCTACGCCGCTTCTATCACTATTAAGCAAGACCTTCAACTTGGTATCGAACAGTAGGGTTATCAGCAATCATGAACCGATCTCCGATATAATCACTCTTCATTGTCACAGAGTTACCCCGTTATCTTCTCATTGCTTCATACTCACCCCTCTAGCGTGGTCATTCTCTTCATTTATTAATTGTTCAATTAACAACACTGAAAGCAACAAAAAAATTAAAATATATTAGAAATTGACAGATGCAAATATATTTATACGATGTTTCCAATTCTTCTATTACCGCCATTTCACATAAAATTTCATTCGCAATTTCCTTTAGTGACTAGTTGCTTCTTCAAGCTCTTGTGTGGCGAAATGTCTGCATCCATTACAGTCTCCTCTACAGCCAGCACATATTTTTTTTATTATCGCTTCCAGGAAATTTCTGTCTTTCTTCGAAATGTTTCAGATGATTCTTTTGCGACCTTTGCTTAACAATTGACTGGGTCGGGTCAACCGTTCGAGTAGACTACTAATAATGACTTTCTGCCTTTGTCTTGAAACCGCAGTTTCTTATCCAGATTTAGCAGACACGGCTCCTAACCAGCACCCCGCGCTCCCTTGCCTTTTACGCCAGCCGTGCCACTTTGTAATAGTGGCTCGTTCTTGGTCCGAGGCCTTTGGCTGCCCGCTTCCTGACACGCCCGCTCCGAATGGACCTCCTCTGTCCCTTCTAACTGCTCCGCTGCTTCCTCGCGTCTGATGTTTGTGCCTCCATCACATGCGGAGCTTCCTCCATCAAGGGCACCTCTCTCTCTCCCGTGTTGCTGGGCGAGCATCGCATCCCTTTTAGCAGCCGCCGACGTCACCATTTCCTATGTTTCCTACATGGGCCGTAGCCGCCCACGCCGCGGGCAGCGCCTCTGCCGGCGCGCGGACCGCCGCCTCCACCGCCGCTTCCTGCCGTCGTGCCTTCGCTCGTGCCACACCCGCCTCCAACGACCGCACAGGATCTCTCATTCTTCCGCCTGCGTTCCGCCGCCACCAATGGAGCCGCAGCAACTCTCGTTTCGCGTCCACTTCCGCTGCCATCGCCGTCACCACCGTCACTACCCCCCTCCGTGGTTCTCATTTCCAAACTATCATCCGGCTACCGGAGCCATCGTATCTCACAGAGACGACCACCGTGCCCGCAAGTCCCGTGGCCGTGGAGGCCAGCGCTTTCGCCACCTCCACCACTAACGTCAGTTCTAGTCCCATTGCCAACGGACAAAAGCAGCTAGGCATAACGCAACTACTTTGCGGGGCGCCACCGCTACCTCCGTCACCGTTGCCACCACCTCCGCCAGGCCACGCACGCGGGTCGCCGCCGTCGCCCGCGGTTTACGATAATGCGACGGACGGCGGAATTTTTACGCGCTGCCCCCACCTCCCCCGCCGCCGCCTCCGCCGCCCCGGCCGCCTTCACCGACGTCGCGAGCGAGTTAGAATTAAGCAAATGGGAGCGTTTCCCCCACTGCCGGCGCGCGTGAAATACGACGCTGCAGTTTTAATCAAGGTAAAACATAACACATTCATTTAAAAACAAGATCGTTTATCTTTGGAGCGGCCGAGGAGAAGAGCGGACGCATTATAAGACTTGCTTACGCTAAGTACTTTTCCTCGCGCAGTTCAATTTATCCCGTCTTAAATGCAAATTAGTGCAATGGTCTTCGATCCGCCGGGAATCGCGACGCGAGAACAGTTGAAACACACGGCGCGCTGAGAAGGCGCCGTTCATTTGTTACAGCATTGTTGCTGCATTGTTGGCCGCGCTGCGCGATCTTCGCGCGATACGCGGTCCGCGAATTAATGCAGAGCGGATGAATTATTAATTTCCGCCTCTCGAGTATTTCACTGGCGCGGCGGGAGTGAGAGGGCAGGAGGGTGTCGGGAGGGCGGAGAGAGAAAGAGGAAAGGGGCGGGGAGGGGGGAGGGGGCGAGCAACACGCACGGAGAGCGCTAACAGCCAGCGCGCGCCATACCGGGGAGGGGCCATCAGAAATAAAAATGGCGGAACGCGGTGGGATTCGGCGTTGCCAAGGGAATCACTCGGGAACACGAACTGAACTCCGGACGTGATAAACTACTTGCAGAAGTGTTCGCAAACTGCGCGTCTCGCGAGCACCTGGTCCGTTGCGCCAACTGCGATTCGCTTAATTAAAATTGGTGACGAAAAAGAGACAATGAGGAATGGGAAGTAAACGCGCTCGAGCGTCTCGGAGTTGTTTATCTTTCGTAATAAGAACACCATATCCTGCACCTCTACGGTTCAATATATCTTATTTAAATGTCTTTGGAGACTACGAAACGAAACTGAGAACGTAATATAACACAATTCACACGAATAGTATTGCATTTAAGGAGTACCATTCCATTAACAAAAGGAATGAATTCCACTAACAAAAGGAATAAATTCCATTAACAAAAGGAATAAATTCCATTAACAAAAGGAATAAATTCCATTAACAAAAGGAATGAATTCCATTAAAAAAATAAAATGAATTTAGTAATATCTATGATACATTTAGCACAAATTCCAAAAACCTAAATTAGGCAGAAACGTAACACTGTAGTAGTTTATACTCTCCCATTTAAACACAGTGGAACTTCAAGGTCACGAACCGGACGGTGAGGGGGGGAGGGTCATTGTCATCCAATCGGGAGCTTCGTTACTACTTAAATGTTATGTATTTGAGCTCCCAATTGGATAACAATGTCCCCCTGTTCTTCCAGCTCGTGACCTTCAAGTGTCACTGTGTTTAAATCGGCGTAATACATCACCATAATCTGGATATTATTTTCTTTTTCGTTTCCTTTACTTGCTACAACTTTCCAAACAACAGCTCAAACGGGGCTCATAAAAGTGCTGAACGGGAACTGGAACCTGGGCAAGAAACGGCGGTGGCATACTTGACCCGGCAGCTGCGAGCGGAGGGCGGAGGGCGGGCCGGGGCGCCGTCGACCGCGTCGGACACACGCGCGCGCGCGCGAGCGGCTCCGTGGAGCGCGGCGACGTAGCCTCCGCCTGCCGAAGGGCTGCCGAAGAAGCAAGATGGATGGGCGTCGAGACGCTCGGAGTTTGCGGCCTGGGCGTGGACGGGGGCCGGGGGCCGGGGGTGGCGTCGGAGATGGATG